ATAGTTTTATTTGGTAGAGGAAGAAAGTAAGAAATAAAGAGAGTGAAAACTAACGATTTTTGATTAATCTCGTAGTATAAAGAAAAAGTAAATTAAACAGGCCTGGCCATTGGCTTCCTACATATACCTAGCCTCCGATATCAAGCCTCCCTAAAACACTATACAAAACCACGCTGTGGGGCACTGTGCACTTCAACGGTTTGGGATAATGTGGCTGTCCCACTCCCATCGCCCCTTAAACGGGGGCTCAACAGAAGACGGAGGTTCAGTGCAATCACTCAGCGGCAGGCCCGTAGCCAGGGGGGGTTCGGGGGGTTCGAAAGAACCGCCCTTTTTGCTGGAAAAAGGTCCACTTTGGATAGAATTTGATCTAGGTACATAAAGGTTTAATGGTAAAAGGTCCACTTTTTCAAAAAACGAACCCCCCATTTGAAATTGCTGACTACGGGCCTGCAGCGGGGAATCTGGAATAAATGTAAGTCCATGCTTCAGATGCGTAACTTGCATTACAAAACATTGACAAGGGTATGCGCTACTCAGCACCTAAGACTGGGTTCCTATACCTACATGTAGATCGATCTAACAGGATCTCCAAGGGGTCTCTCTTGATGTTGCTTTCACCCTAAGCAGCTTAAATGTCTGACACGCCTATTTAAGCTGCTAAACGATAATTAATTACCCCCTAGCAGCTTCAGTGGGCGTGACAGACATCTAAGCCGCTTAAGATGATTGCAATTTAGCGAGAATCCCCTTGGAGATAGAGCGATCCACAGTTAATACGATAGGGTCTGGGAATAGTCATTAAGTGTGAAATCGACCCCCACTGACAAATACAAGGGGTATGCATGGCAAGGAACGCGTTCCTCTTAATTTCTCCAAATATCACAGGGTGCTTTACAACATTTAACTACTAGCCCAACTACCTTGTGGTCAAAGACGAACATTCACCTACTTGGAGGAGATTGATCTGGAATGGCCGTAGACAACGTCTTAACGCTATGACTCTGATTTGGGGATAAAAAAAGTTTCTCGTTAAAAAATTGAACAAGGATAATATCCATAGGATGTAATGGGGGATGTGTGTGTCATTGACGTCTTTTCATAATTAAATAGACAAGAAATGGCTTTCAAAGGTGATCTCAAACTGTCAAGTTAGCCTCGGGCAAGCATAAGATCTAACTTGACTTCAATGTTTTTGCCTGTTTAGAATGGCATAACAAACCATTTCCATTTGTCTTTTGTTACGTGAGTCGATTTTACTCGACGCTCTTTGAAGTCTACATGTAAGATTCAGCCGCACTTAGAGATCGGGCATTTTTGGCAATCATTCAAAATCGATTACATGAAAGTAGTGTCTAACGGTGACATTTTAAACTAATTCATCCTATTAATCGGTGAGTCAGTTAGATACTATAGATGAACAGCACGTAATGAAAGCAAAATTAAAACCTTTGCGTGCTTCAAATTATCACGAAAAAGGTCTTCGAATTTATTTAGCAATAGATCAGAGAGGCAATAAATATGGTTAATTGACATTTCAATCTCTGTGAATTAGCACTATTTGCGTTTCAGTAAGTCTTTCGCCTCCAAAGAAATTCTGCCGAGCGAAAGTTAACAGAGCGAAAATGCAAACTAAACAGGTGTTTGTAAAACATCCTTTGTATATAATCCATTTGCTGTCCATCATGCCAAAATATAACACAAAACTATACTAATTAAATATACAACTCCACTTTACATGGTTTAAAAAGATGTTTCAACGGCGATATCGTATGGCTTAGACATTTTGTATGTACAGTATCAAATCCTTCTATATCCGCCATAGTCACCACAGTCACTATTTCTGATATAGCCACATACGTTCTGAGATTAGCGTCATCCCATAACGAAAATTGTAAGATGAAGGCAGGAAGGGGGGAGGTTCGAAATAACCGCCGTTTTTCCTGAAAAAATGTTCGCTTTGAATCAAAATTCGATCAAGGTTCAATGTCATTATGGTAAACAGATCTACTCATTCAGATTTAACTTCCTTTCCTTTGATATTATTGAAAACGCAACATGACATCGATGACAACTGAGCTAATTTTTCATCCTGGATTCTTTTATTCTTTTAAACGCGAAACTGATCATACCAATTCCATGAAAATTCATAACACACATGCTTTTCAGATGGGAATAAGATCTTTCTCTTAGAAGAGCTCAATCTTCATTCTTCTAATAACCCTTAAATATCGTGCTTCCGTAAGATCACAGGGATGAAAGGGATCATTAATTCCGAGGTAATTTCGAAAGAGCCTTTATGAATGAATAAATGTTCCCGATACGGAGTTATTTGCCCTTTGAAAAATTTTAACTATGACCAAGCTACAAAAGCAGGAAAGCAGATTAGACAGAAATGGGGGTTTTGCATCGAACTGTTATTGACTTGTATAGGAAATGGGAACTGTAATTTGTTTTTGGGTCCTGGGATAATCGTGCACCTTCCTTCAAGGCAAAGTTAAGGTTATTGTAACCCTTTATTATCATCCAAATACCGAAAATGAGTTTTTTCCTGCATCTTATTTTTCACTAATGCATTGGTGCTGATTTAAAACAATGAATAAGCCCTCGAAAATATAAAATATAGGCGTTTATATTTTTTCGTTGCACAGCTTTAATAGTCAATTTAACATCTTTCTATTTTGCGGTGAGATAGCAATCGGTATGGGGCGTAACTTCATCCCTGAACAAGATTTCATCACGAAAAATTGGCAGAGTTGTCCAGGAGAGTATAGACTACAATCCCGTGCCGTCATTTTGGTTTAAAGGTTTTTGTTATGGAGTTATGAGCCCCTAAATACAGATTTTCATCAAACAAAGGCATAATTTTGCTTTAAGAAAAATCGCTGACAGGGTTTTGGAGTACTAAATAGTCTCATTAAATCGGCATTGAAACGGTGATCAGGTAAAAGAGAAATTTGAGAAACCCATTTTTCATTTTTTACCCCAAAATCGCGATTATGACGTCACCCGTAAGATGACATGTTTAAATGTAAATTAATTTAGTCACCAAACACTGAAGATTTATTTATTGGTACTCTCTAGCAGCGGTTAGCTGAGTGATGACGTAAATTCATTTTCACTGGACACACTACAGAAATGAGCACAGAAATAGCCAGAAATATACCTGTGAATATAATGTGAAAAATTAATCTGTCTCCCTGGTAGAGGGTAGGTTAAATTCCTAATTTACACAAATGAGTTGAGAAAAAATGTATTTTGGATATATTTATTTATGTGGTATTTTAAGGAGATGGCATGTACATGTATCAATGATTGGGCATTCATGGTGCTGAACCCAGGTATTTTTAGAAATTAGGTAAACCTGGTCGTTTTACGAGATGCAGCTCAAGAAAACAACAGATTTCTCAGAAAAGAGGTCACGGTTCCACTTAATGTGCTCAGCATGGTGACTCATTAAACTGAGCACTGTGTTAAAAGAAAAATTACAGGTGAAGAATCAAAACTGGCATTAACGCCTTTCCCCAGATACTTATAAAAAATCTGGGTGCATAATAGCTGCCATGGTGAATTTCCTCACCAAACTCTTATAATATACACTTTCATGTTACCATTGCACCATTTTCATATTGCTGCACCTTGGGCTATTTGAAATGCCTTCTGATAGTTCAACCCATTTCTTTTTTAATCTGGGAGGGGGTAAAGCGAGACAGAAAAAGATTCAAATGAATTCCAGGACAGTTTCGGAGTAAGACTGAGCATTATGTCCTAGATCATTGGGGTGCCGCTATTCTTTGAGTGACTGATTTGTATTGTATACAGACCTCAGCAATGTACAGTGGAAGCCTGGAAGGCAATGTATGGTAATTCACCATACCTCCATGTATTGTTAAACGCAGGGTTTATGTCCGACAGACAAAGCTTTGACAAATACGTATGTGTAGCCATCTGAACAAGGGTGGTGTGTGTTTTTGTGTGTGACAAAATCTTAATTTCAGTCGTCACGACTAGCTTATCTCTTGCTAGATCCTGCATAAACCTTTCACAACCATCAAATAACTAGTTGTAACCCACAGTTTCCAATAACCAGTCATTTCTTCATATCTGTATATTTTTTACTTGGGAGAAACTCATTTGCCTAGTAATATCGCCATGTTTAACACTGCCTCAGAACTGACGAAGACAAATCATCCAGATATTGTGATTTTTATCATGCGGAATTAGAAACCAATGTGCCATCTCTTTCTTCTAGCGATTTTTTTCTAATGAAAGTATATGAAAATCAGCTGGGTTGTTTCTAACACCAACCTACGGAATGGAAAAAGGAAAATGTTAAAACACGGAGATACACTACGAGCATTAAATCAAGTTACTCAATACGTCCTTGAGAAGCATAGGTGAAATGAGGTAGCAAGTCAATGAGAAAAAAACGGAGTACTGTTCAGTCTACGGGAGTATTTCGTCAACTGGTAAACCAAGTTGTACAACAAAGTGCAATGTAATAATTCCGTCAGTGGTAATGGTTCTTAAGGTTGTCACACAATATAAGAATATTAGCCAGAGTTTGGGGGAAAACGCACTTGAAGCGATTCTCGCCATGTCCTATATTACTGCCACTGGTAAATTAATTTAAAAATTGCAATTCCCGTTTTTCTTCACTTCCATTTATTCTTTGATACATTATACAGTTTGTACATACATGCATATTAAGTTAATAATTTTCATTTTGTTTATTTACGTCAATTTTTCTCTTTCAATTAAAAATCCAATTAAGAAGCCAGTGTTGAACAAAACGTAACATGCCAAATCCATTTGATTTGGCCTTTAGCATTTCACCATTTTGAAGATAATGGAAATAACCATCAAGATAGTGGCTTCTTTACAGCTCTTTTTCTCCCCCTTTTTTACCATAATCAATAAAACTGAATAGGTTATAACCTATTTTAGTCCAAATACCAGGAAATAATCATGTAAAGCAGAGAAGATTCCACCACAAAAAAAAAAAAAAAAAAATGCTGGCAAGTACCAGTACCTAAATAGAACACTCAGAATGGCCTAGGGTCATAAAATGAATAAAAGTCAGCCTTTTTTTTTTTCAAAACTAGCCTGTGTATGGCTTTTATGACAGCCCAACAGCAACATTGCAATACAGGTACAAACTCCCCAGAACATGCTTTTAAACATAGGAAAGGCATAAACATTATCACTACAAGTATTTCCCCAATGTTTATAGCAAAACACTGACTTTTTTGTGGAACAAGAAATGTGCACACTGCTGTTGGTCTTACTCAGGCAACCTGATACAGGTCAACACTACAAATAAGGTACAGCACTTATGGCCTTTTCTACATCACAGAGAGTTCCTATGATCAATCATCTAATAAAATTGTTTAAAGCAAACTTCTCCCATCACAAAGAATGCAATCAGCAATTTGTCTGTCAGACATGATAGAAAGGTTGTTTGGCCTCCTTGAACTTAAAAGGTTGTTGTAGGTTATCAGGTAGGTTTCTTCCTTTTCACTTGCAACTGCCCCTTGTCACTGTTAGTTCTTTTCTGCAATGATATGTCAAATGATATTGCATAAAAAATAAAAAGAACAGTGCTCAAATAATAAGTTAGGAAAAAGTCAGCTCATTCTTGCTCTTGTAAAACAGACAGCCTTTGGTTATCCCATAGCTAATTTTTGGTTGTTTAAAAAAGTGAGTTTAATAAATAAGAATCCAAAAATTACTATTGCAGTGTGCTTGCCAGTGATGTGCTAAAACATCAAAATCAAGACAGATTTCTTGATGACATGCACAGATGTTAAAAGGAGCTACTCATGGATGGAATATTCTGCTTCATTATCTTTCAAAGGAAATATGCATTATAAATCCTGAACCCCTGTAAATCAACTGATCCACTGGTTTAATTTGAATCATAAGCTTCAAATGAAAAACCAGGAAAAGGTAATTTACAGCTACAAAAAGGTATCATCCATTCCAATTTCATATTGATGGAATGGTATCATACTTATAACATTTACTAAGTAATTGTACTTAAAGCTAAAATATCAGTTGAAATAAATCAAGGGTAAATGCACTCCTTAAATTTGCAAAATCAACTGGAAGTTGAAATGATACACTAGATGAACTCGAGAATAAATAATTACTTCGTGCATTCAGAAAACTCCAAACACTTTTGTAAATATATCACAGAGCAAACAAATTGCTTAGGAAAAAAACAAGCCCTTTCCTTTAAAAGAAGTTGTAAACGACATTTTAGGTGAGCTCTTCCTTAAACTTCGCATACATCAACCCAATTTATTGCTGATCAAACTATATACAAATCCACCAATAAAGGCCTACACAATTTTTTCTTATAGCAAAAAGTTTGGCTTGCAACTTTTGAGAAAAGAAAATTCAGCTTCCCTATGTGCTCTAGTGTCTGAAGCTGCTACATTCTAAAAAAAAAAAAGAAAAAAAATTCAAGTATGCTCTAATAACTGGTTCATGAATAGGTCAATAATTTGAAGATTTAGATTATCAAGTTTTCAATTGTAGGATTTGAATTTACACACAGCTTATGATCTAACTTACCACCCCTCAACCCCAAATAAAAAAGGCTACTGAAAAACAAAACAAGCTTTGGATACCATGCATAATTGCTTTTTGTTTGTTTAATTTTTCATTTACAGCCAATGGTAAAAAAATCAAGTTACGTTTGTTTCTAAAACTCTCAGTAAACAAAGTTTCTGTTGGCCTAAAAGTACACGGGCAAAAATGCAGTAAAACATTTCAGTTGTAGAGAGACTAGGTTGACTAGGTCTCAAACTGAGAAAATGGTAAAAAACTAAACAAACCCATTGCTCTACCTCCCCTCTAAGAAGAGGATGTTTCATACCCCTCATGTGTAGTGTTAAATGTGGAAATAAAGAACATTATGAAAAAAAAGTAACTTAAACGAAATGTCTGTGAAATGTTCATCAAGACATCTACATGTATACAAGGAAACTAGACTGAAGTACAGAGTCAAATGATGCAGAACATAAATCACACTGAAAACCCTGCCCCCTGCCATTCAAAAAGGCACAAATCACTGATGAAGGGCATTTGCCAGATAGATACTTTCCCATCACAAATATTCACTGGGTTGCAACTTTCTACAAATACAAGGAATCATTCCAAAATCTAGATATCGACATCCTTGCCTGTTTTCCATACAGCAAAAGTGCACTCACTGAGCATTTCAGAGGACATAATTACCTAATTTGCAAATATCCAGTGCCAATTTTGAGTGCAAACAAATGAGCCCCTTATTTTTAAGTACAGGTAACAATTTTGATAACAGTAACATATTGGCTTACACGATTAGAGCACATTTTGAGTGCAATTGATATTTGAAACAAAAGTTCCAATAAAATACTGTTAAGGGCATCTACATCGCAAATTTAATCAAGCTATTTTCAATGAATAAATACATATCTGATTTGGAAAAAATGCAGCATTTATTGTTAAACTGTATAAATGTTAATTCAATTAAAAACAAAAGCAAATTTCGAAGTTTTTATCATCAATACTGGTCTGAGATATAAAATGAGAATGGAAACAATTTTTAAGTGAAATCTCTAAATTTCCAGGGCTTTGTATTTTTTGAAAAGTGGTAAAGAGCTTCTAGACATGGTTATGACAGTTATGACAGTAAAATGAAATTTATAGACTTGCAGACAACCATCTCCATAACATAACTGGCACAGCAAAAAACCTATCATTAACCAATGAAACAGACAAGTTTTGCAATTATCATGTGATTGATGTAGACACCAAGTCTAATACAGTGCTCCACATTATTTTCCAATGATTCAAAGTATCATGTTTAACACCTTGGCATATGGTTAAAGGAAGCCTAGCAAACCAAGTAAGGACCAAGATTATCCGTGTGAGGAAATTACCGAGCAAATAATCAATATTCTTTCAAAATCAGAACTCTGTCTATTCAATTGTCAGCTGCACACTCTAGTGACTTCTATGCTAGCAGATGACTTACAGATATTGAAGTCCCAGGCTTGAAGTGCAAAGATTAAAAGAAAAAAAACAACACTTTTTAGAGATACATACATACCTGAGATTTCTTGATTTTTTTCTTCAATGCTTCAACATCAACTGATGCACCTACAAAAAGAAAAAATAATGCCTACATTGTTACACTTTTCATATAGTATAAAGAGCAAAATTTTATTTGAAATTCTGGTAGATGTTGCTGAACTTGAGCCCTTCAACAAATACAAAGAGAAATGAATATCTGTCTTTCAACAATATCACCTTGTAAAAAAAAAAAAAAGTAATTATATATTTATATCTATATTTTAAAAATTCAAAGCAACACAAATGGATATATATTAAGCATAAGCTACCACATAAAATACTTTCCAACAGTTAAGGCAACAGAAAAAAACTGATAATTTTCACTATTACCGTAATGTTGTGAAAATAAATTTTGGTCAAATATGCTAGCATGGCTTCATCAACTTAACTTTATCGCTGATGGCCGATTGCACACAAACCTTGTGATTGTTTCTTTTTCTTATGGACTGGCTCCTCTGGTGCAATGAATGCCTGGGCTCTCTTTTCTTGTTTCTTTTCCTCAGCTTCAATCTGTTTTGCCTATAAACAAATTAAATAATACTTGTAAACTATGCAATTTACATCTTTTTCTTCAGTGTCAGCAGGCATTTCATAATGTTCCCACACAAAAATCCATTTTGACAAATAAAAATTGTCAGAAAAATAAGACAATTAAAGCTTGAAAGCATCCAAAAACTATGTAAACTGCAATTTATATTTGAGACATAAATGATTTAAACAACCTTTACCTTCTTTTCATCCCTTTTCTTGTATTTTCTTTGCTTTTCCTTCAGGAAATATTCACCACTAGCAAGTTCCTTGTCCAGCTGAAGAAAGAAAGTTTTAAGTTTAATTCCCACAATAATGCACTCACCAAGAGCATGCTTACTTACATATTATAAATATGGAGATTTTCTTTACAGATGTAGTTTATCATTATTTCAAACAACTAACATAACACTTTGATATGTCATGACATAATAATATTACATGACATAAAGATGAATTTTATGCCAAGAGCCTGCCATTCCAACTACAGAATGGAGCCAACTACTGGTTAAGCACTTTACAAAGCAGAAAGTAAATAGTAAAAGTAAATACTCATCATTACCTTGCTTTCTGGTTGTGGAGGAGGGAATGGAGTATACTCTTTTTTAACCGTTTTCTTTTTAGGTTGCTTTCTCTTACTGATATTCTTGGATTTAAACTTGGGTAAAAATCTATCCCATGATTCACTTCTAAGTGCTGGATCTTTTGCCAGTTCTCTCTTTATCATCAATGTCTGTATAAAAAATTGAATAACAATTAACCTAATTGTACATAAAATGATCATTTCTAAAAAGTGCCTATGAAAGTTATGCTATACATGAAATGTATATGTCATTATTCTCTTTTAATCATAAGTCTGACAGATTTTATTTATTCATAATTCAAGTTTTGATGAACTGTGGGCCATCATCCTCTGGATTTCACCTAAAAGTTCGTTGAAAATTTTATTGCATGTATGCCTGTGTTACAAGTAAAAGCTAAGAATATGCAAATTACCAAAAATTAATATCTTTTATAATGAAAGAAGGCATTTCTGTGCAATTCAGAACATCATAAAATTTGTCATATTAGGTAGTTATTTTCTGTCTAGCTTTATTTTACATTATTTTGCCTTATGTGCAATGTTCATCCACATGGTAAAAAAAAAAAAAAAAAAAAAACACCTTCCTGTTTTCACAATAATGCAATTGCTAACTAGAAGTTGGACATTTAAAATAGCATTTTTGAAACAGTAAATTCATCTTTATCCTAAAATAATGTGTGCCTTAGGTGGTCCAGCACATTCTATAAAATAGAACTTACCTTTATGTTGTAAATAGGATGAATGTTTTTCATTGTATCTTCTGAAATCTTCCTGACCTGAAGTTAAATATATATATATATGTACGAGTGACTACTGTCAACGAAGCAGTTAAAATGAAATAAACCGTAGTGTAAATAATAACAATAAATAAATTTAAATAAATATATCAATTAAAAATAAAATAAAGATTAAACAAAAGATAGAGCAAAATCAAAATTAGATCTTAAATCAAATCCTAAATTACACCCTAATGTATCATGGTAAGGTACAAAATACCAACAGTGAAAACATTCTAATATTTTAAGTTGTGATAGTAATAATTTTACTGTTCTCTGTAAAAGGTAATAGATCATGTAACAGAATTATTAAGTTTTATATTTCAGCTTAAAACAATTACCTCCTTTAAACCTTTGTATGGTCCCAAGGCCGATACTGTATTTCCTTGAACAAGCACATAACAACCTGTCAGTAGTTCTATTGCCTATAACAAACATCAAGATATCAATATTTATACTTGTAAAAAAACATGGTAACAATGTTTTTCTCATCAACTCTATCCAATGTAATTCCCTTATTAAGTGTAAGCATAATGAATGAATAACATCCAGTATTACTTGCCCACTCTACAATTACAAACCTTAAGTGTTGACCCATTGGGTCCTATAAGTCTCTGTCGTCTTTTTACAAATCTTTCCTTATTTCGTACTAGTGAGGCTATTTTGATTATGTCGCATGCCATGTCATCTTCCAGAACACGAATGGCCTAGAAACACATAAAAAACAGTAGCATTTTTATTGTCCATAATTTTTCAAATAATACAAATTTGTGCTTTCAATCATGGTCTTTAATGCTATTTCCATCAAACATAGTTTAACATTCATTTTACTCAATGTCTTCAAATATGCTAAAGCCAGTTATTAGACTGTTCACCATTGCCTTAAAAAGTATTAGCAGCATAACTTTAATGGATGCATTTTCAAAAATACTATTGATTTTTCTGTCAGTTGTTGTCTTTGTGACAATTTGAATATTTTGATGTGAAGGTTATCTCAACTCTAAGAAAAATGTCAGTTGTCAATGATGTCCTATGAATAACAGTCACAAACTTTGACTCAAAGACCAGCAACGGAAGTAAAATGCCAAATATCGTACCTACATTCTTTTAGTAGTCTGCCTGCTGCCCCCCCCCCCCTCTTTACAATCTTTATTAATTTCTACTCTCTCCCAAACTTTATCAAGATCAGTCAGAGGGTGCCCCCATCTCTCTGACCACATGCAACACACTGTTCCAGCACCCAGGTGGCTGCTACTCTGACCATGACAATTTTAATCTTAATGATAGCTTGGTAAACATGTGCATATTAAAATTTTGAAATAATCTGTCAGTTAAGGAAAGCCAGCACTTTAACAGATTTCACTGCATGATATATATAAAAAATCAGCCCACCTACTCCACAAGTAAATGTAAATTTTAAGTACTGCTTATTTCATGCTAAGTGTGTTGATTTGTCTATCACAAATCAACAGACTTAGCATGAATAATACAATAACCTGCTCATAAGGCACACTTCTTGCTAGGAGCTTGATCACATCTCTAGCTTTGATGATGATGTATGGATCCCACGTCTTCCTGGTGCTACGCACTGTCATACTGCCTTCAACAACATCCAACTCAGCTTTGATGCCCTGTTGACAGGAAATAAAACATCGGCTATAGGTTTTAAAGCCGGCTACTTCAAAGGAAGAATTTTGAAAAACATGCTTAAAAGCATACAGGGTGCAGCCATATATCAATAATGCCTCTGCAAAGTTATAAATTCACGTGTTCAGTTGCATGCATCAAAGGATACATGTTTAGAGATTTTCTTATATAAAACCAATATGTGTATTGGAAACATTTACACAGCATGAAACTATATATTACTAAGATTCCTTTGTACAGAGGAAATGGATAAAACTACATGCAAATGGAGTAAATGTAAAATCTCAAAGGTGAGCTGATGATTCACAGGCCCAAGGCTTGAAATTTCAAGGGGGGGGGGGGTCTTTTTTCTGAAAATGTGAACCTGTTATCATGAAACCTTCATGTACCTATATCAAATTTTAGCAAGAGCAGACCCTTTCCTGGCAAAAAGGGGGCCGTAGCGATAGTCCGAAGGTTCAATAGTCCGAAGNTAAAGCATAAGCTACCACATAAAATACTTTCCAACAGTTAAGGCAACAGAAAAAAACTGATAATTTTCACTATTACCGTAATGTTGTGAAAATAAATTTTGGTCAAATATGCTAGCATGGCTTCATCAACTTAACTTTATCGCTGATGGCCGATTGCACACAAACCTTGTGATTGTTTCTTTTTCTTATGGACTGGCTCCTCTGGTGCAATGAATGCCTGGGCTCTCTTTTCTTGTTTCTTTTCCTCAGCTTCAATCTGTTTTGCCTATAAACAAATTAAATAATACTTGTAAACTATGCAATTTACATCTTTTTCTTCAGTGTCAGCAGGCATTTCATAATGTTCCCACACAAAAATCCATTTTGACAAATAAAAATTGTCAGAAAAATAAGAAAATTAAAGCTTGAAAGCATCCAAAAACTATGTAAACTGCAATTTATATTTGAGACATAAATGATTTAAACAACCTTTACCTTCTTTTCATCCCTTTTCTTGTATTTTCTTTGCTTTTCCTTCAGGAAATATTCACCACTAGCAAGTTCCTTGTCCAGCTGAAGAAAGAAAGTTTTAAGTTTAATTCCCACAATAATGCACTCACCAAGAGCATGCTTACTTACATATTATAAATATGGAGGTTTTCTTTACAGATGTAGTTTATCATTATTTCAAACAACTAACATAACACTTTGATATGTCATGACATAAAGATGAATTTTATGCCAAGAGCCTGCCATTCCAACTACAGAATGGAGCCAACTACTGGTTAAGCACTTTACAAAGCAGAAAATAGTAAAAGTAAATGCTCATCATTACCTTGCTTTCTGGTTGTGGAGGAGGGAATGGAGTATACTCTTTTTTAACCGTTTTCTTTTTAGGTTGCTTTCTCTTACTGATATTCTTGGATTTAAACTTGGGTAAAAATCTATCCCATGATTCACTTCTAAGTGCTGGATCTTTTGCCAGTTCTCTCTTTATCATCAATGTCTGTATAAAAAATTGAATAACAATTAACCTAATTGTACATAAAATGATCATTTCTAAAAAGTGCCTATGAAAGTTATGCTATACATGAAATGTATATGTCATTATTCTCTTTTAATCATAAGTCTGACAGATTTTATTTATTCATAATTCAAGTTTTGATGAACTGTGAGCCATCATCCTCTGGATTTCACCTAAAAGTTCGTTGAAAATTTTATTGCATGTATGCCTGTGTTACAAGTAAAAGCTAATAATATGCAAATTACCAAAAATTAATATCTTTTATAATGAAAGAAGGCATTTCTGTGCAATTCAGAACATCATAAAATTTGTCATATTAGGTAGTTATTTTCTGTCTAGCTTTATTTTACATTATTTTGCCTTATGTGCAATGTTCATCCCTGTGGTAAAAAAAAAAACATTCCTGTTTTCACAATAATGCAATTGCTAACTAGAAGTTGGACATTTAAAATAGCATTTTTGAAACAGTAAATTCATCTTTATCCTAAAATAATGTGTGCCTTAGGTGGTCCAGCACATTCTATAAAATAGAACTTACCTTTATGTTGTAAATAGGATGAATGTTTTTCATTGTATCTTCTGAAATCTTCCTGACCTGAAGTTAAATATATATATGTACGAGTGACTACTGTCAACGAAGCAGTTAAAATGAAATAAACCGTAGTGTAAATAATAACAATAAATAAATTTAAATAAATATATCAATTAAAAATAAAATAAAGATTTAACAAAAGATAGAGCAAAATCAAAATTAGATCTTAAATCAATTCCTAAATTACACCCTAATGTATCATGGTAAGGTACAAAATACCAACAGTGAAAAAATTCTAATATTTAAGTTGTGATAGTAATAGTTTTTCTGTTCTCTGTAAAAGGTAATACATCATGTAACAAAATTATTAAGTTTTGATTATATTTCAACTTAAAAGATTTACCTCCTTCAAACCTTTGTATGGTCCCAAGGCTGATACTGTATTTCCTTGAACAAGCACATAACAACCTGTCAGTAGTTCTATTGCCTATAATAAACATCAAGATATCAATTATCTTAAATTTTTTATACTTGTAAAAAAACATGGTAACAATGTTTTTCTCATCAACTCTATCCAATGTAATTCCCTTATTAAGTGTAAGCATAATGAATGAATAACATCCAGTATTACTTGCCCACTCTACAATTACAAACCTTAAGTGTTGACCCATTGGGTCCTATAAGTCTCTGTCGTCTTTTTACAAATCTTTCCTTATTTCGTACTAGTGAGGCTATTTTGATTATGTCACACGCCATGTCATCTTCCAGAACACGAATGGCCTAGAAACACATAAAAAACAGTAGCATTTTTATTGTCCATACTTTTTCAAATAATACAAATTTGTGCTTTCAATCATGGTCTTTAATGCTAATTCCATCAAATATAGTTTAACATTCATTTTACTTAATGTTTTCAAACATGCTAAAGCCAGTTATTAGACTGTTCACCATTGCCTTAAAAAGTATTAGCAGCATAACTTTAATGGATGCATTTTCAAAAATACTATTGATTTTTCTGTCAGTTGTTGTCTTTGTGACTATTTGAATGTTTTGATGTGAAGGTTATCTCAACTCTAAGAAAAACGTCAGTTGTCAATGATGTCCTTTGATCTATGAATAACAGTCACAAACTTTGATTCAAAGACCAGCAACGGAAGTAAAATGCCAAATATTGTACCTACATTCTTTTAGTAGTCTGCCTGCTGCCCCCCCCCCTTTACAATCTTTATTAATTTCTACTCTCTCCCAAACTTTATCAGGATCAGTCAGAGGGTGCCCCCATCTCTCTGACCACATGCAACACACCCTGTTCCAGCACCCAGGTGGCTGCTACTCTGACCATGACAATTTTAATCTTAATGATAGCTTGGTAAACATGTGCATATTAAAATTTTGAAATCTGTCAGTTAAGGAAAGCCAGCACTTTAACAGATTTCACTGCATGATATATATAAAAAATCAGCCCACCTACTCCACAAGTAAATGTAAATTTTAAGTCAGTACTGCTTATTTCATGCTAAGTCTGTTGTTTTGTCTATCACAAATCAACAGACTTAGCATGAATAATACAATAACCTGCTCATAAGGCACACTTCTTGCTAGGAGCTTGATCACATCTCTAGCTTTGATGATGATGTATGGATCCCACGTCTTCCTGGTGCTACGCACTGTCATACTGCCTTCAACAACATCCAACTCAGCTTTGATGCCCTGTTGACAGGAAATAAAACATCGGCTATAGGTTTTAAAGCCGGCTACTTCAAAGGAAGAATTTTGAAAAACATGCTTAAAAGCATACAGGGTGCAGCCATATATCAATAATGCCTCTGCAAAGTTCTAAATTCACGTGTTCAGTTGCATGCATCAAAGGATACATGTTTAGAGATTTTCTTATATAAAACCAATATGTGTATTGGAAACATTTACACAGCATGAAACTATATATTACTAAGATTCCTTTGTACAGTGGAAATGGATAAAACTACATGCAAATGGAGTAAATGTAAAATCTCAAAGGTGAGCTGATGATTCACAGGCCCAAAGCTTGAAATTTCAAGGGGGGGGTCTTTTTTCTGAAAATGTGAACCTGTTATCATGAAACCTTCATGCACCTATATCAAATTTTAGCAAGAGCAGACCCTTTCCTGGCAAAAAGGGGAGGTTTGTGTGAATCCCCAAAACCCGCCTTTCTACAGGCCTGTGTTTTCCAAATAATTCTACCACCAGTTCTAGTATTTCAATGTCTGCAATGTAACACACACACACACACACACACACTGTATGTGTGTCTGTGTGCAAAGAAGTACTTACATGTTCACTAAGTGATTTCTGTACAAGTGGCCAACATTCCCGTAGATATTTCTCTCTATACTTTGGAAATAATGTGGCAAAGGAGCTTTCTGCAACAAGGCCTCTTGGGTTGTCCTCTTTGGTAAATATTGGTTCTTTCCAACCCTCCGGAACTTCCAACAAACTTTCTTTACTCTTCCCTGCAAAAAATTCCCTGAAGAGTACTTGACGTTGTCTATCGTGCATGTTTCATCTGCAATTAAGTCCAGCCAATTTGATGGGAAACGACGAAACGATCTACTCAGAGAATGAAAAAATACTTAAATAATAATCCCGCGCCAAACCGAATCTTTAAAAAGCTTGAGACATGTGCAAACTTAAAGAAATCAAGCCAGACAAAAACTGTTGGCGTTTATGCTGAAATTATGCTATCCCTGTCCAGTGAGGGCATTTAGACTTTTACCTAGCTGTTTCACGTTGGCCATGCTTGTTGCTCATGCTTCCCTATGTTTACGAAAATTGCCGATAGGTCGCACTATTCAAGACAATCCCATCAAGCAGCTTAAAGTTTTTTTTTTTGGGGGGGGGGGGGGGGGACTAGAAGTATTTTGGATGGAAGCCTTTTTATTCCGACTGCTCACTGCCCCCCCCCCCCCATAAAAAATCTGAATATTACGCATATGAATATTTACATGTACCATTAGTTCTAAGCCTCATTAGGACTCAGTGGCGGATTTGGGGGGGGGGGGGGTCATATATTTCTTGTAAAGCAAGCAGACGAAAGGACCTTAATCGTGTAACAGAATTTTCTTCCCACAAATGATTGCATATATCAAAAGCAGAAATGTTGAGATTTATTATTTAGGACCAACAGACCTTTGAATTGGCGAGAGTTCGTAGGCCTAAATTTTCGTTTCACTATTCTGATAAAAGACTTTCGGAGGGAAATTAGTCGGAACAACCAGATGACCACATTTTAATTATGTGCCTCGCAGAGGAGACGAAATTAATGTCAATGGTTTCGTATTCTTTTTACCTTACATTTAACTTTTTTGGTTATCCATTGGTAAACATCGTTTTCTTTTTTATTGTTGATTTGACCAATAAGAATAGGGTCTACCTACTATACACCAGGGCCACAGATTGTTTTTTTTTCACTAGATTTTCACAGATGTCTCTGGCTAATTCATCGCTCATTCATGTGCACATAATTAATCTGCGACCCTGGTAGAGGGTACAGAATAGGGTACTCGCCAAGTTGTTTTCACTTTTATTAGCGCAGCAGACGGTCAGAAAAATGTTCATTTTCCAAATCTGTAAATAAACTTAGGTCCTATATCATTTGTAAGTCAGAGAAGAATTTCATCAGCTGTGTTAAGTTATAAGAATGATGTGAATTTTTCTTCAGTCAACAGCTAATATTGAGATAGGTTTTACCTATTTTATATATAGGTTTTATCGAAATATTGGAGGTAAAACCTATCTCAATATTAGCTGTTGACTGAAGAAAAAAAAATTCACATCATTCTTAAAACTTATATCATGTTTCATAAATCATCATGATGCAGGGGTGGATCCAGGATTAATTGAAGGGGGGGGGGGGGGTCCGCGGATGCTGAAGGGCCCTAAAATTTCTTGCTAATTTAGAGGGCGAACGGTGCCATTTGGTACGGTTTCGAACTATGATTCAGCTAGTCAAAATTCTAATTGCAAGAGGGGGACCATTGGTGCGATTTTTTCAGAAATTGAAGGGGGGGGGGGGGTCACCGCTGTGGATGGTGTTTTGGGGATTTTCAAACCTTTAAGTTTGACGTTTTTGTAGTTACTTTTAAAATAAGAGCTCATTATTTGTTATCAATAATAAAAAATCTATTTAGTGCCATTTGTGTTAATTTAAAAGTAAAAAAAATCAAGTTTGATTTAATAGATATTAGATCTCTCTTTAATAAATGTTTTTAACACACGCAAAAAAATGAAGGTAACGCATACCCAGAACGTTTTGATAACAGGGTTATATATTGGCTAGACCACCAACAAGTGTTAAGTGAACGTCATTCTAACGTTCTACACTGCTACTGTCACCATCATTGATCCGAGAAACGTTGCCAGCAAGTTCTATTAATGTATATAAATTTTGATGAAATTTACAAATTATACATTTTTGTTATTTTTGGCAAAAAAAAAAAAAAAAAATGAACAAAGCGTCATACGCTGTCTTAACTGCACACCTAGTGGCTGATTACAAATTGGGGTTGGGGTTAGGCAACGACTAGAGCGATGAAGCTTTTACAACTCCCGGTCAGTCGGTGCCTACCCCAAATTACCGACATGATGGAAAGCTTTATAAAAACTATAAAAAAAAAAGACTTCAAACATGTAAAAAAGTTTATCAAAATTATTAAAAAGGTGTTTTCAAGTAATCCTGATAGTTGATTGGCGTTTGTGATGAATGAATAGATTTTTTAAACTTCATTTTAGAAAATTCATTCTAATAAATTGCGAACAAGGTCAGCTAACACAAGAGTAGTGAAAAGGTTTAGCAGTAAAGATTTAACTGAAGCAAGTAAGGTTGAATAGTATGCCACGGTCATTTAATAGACAAGTTGTGGAGAAAATCCACTCAATCTGGTTGGGCGACTCCATTTACTTAAAGGGGTGTTATTTAGGCGATTCCATTGCATGAAAGGGGTAACAGGTGGAGCGAGTCCATTGCATTAGAGGGGTGACAGGTGGAGCGATTCCATTGCATGAAAGGGGTAACAGGTGGAGCGAGTCCATTGCATTAGAGGGGTGACAGGTGGAGCGAGTCCATTGCATGAAAGGGGTGACAGGTGGGGCGAGTCCATTACATGAAAGGGGTGACAGGTGGATCGAGTCCATTGCTTTAGAGGGGTGAAAGGTGGGGCGAATCCATTGCAATAGAGGGGTAAAAGGTGGGGCGAGGCCATTGCATTAGAGGGGTGACAGGTGGGGCGAGTCCATTGCATTTAAGGGGTGACAGGTGAGGCGAATCCATTGCATNCATTAGAGGGGTGACAGGTGGGGCGAGTCCATTGCATTTAAGGGGTGACAGGTGAGGCGAATCCATTGCATAAAAGGGGTGATCGGTAGGGCGAGTCTTGTAATTATCCCAATTTGGTTCAGAGAACAGGAACTGAAGAAAATGTTCCGTTTTACCCAGAGAAATCAAATTAAAATTTAAGAAATAACTTGATTTAAGCTAACATCAGAATCACCCCACATTTTCATTATTACATTCAAATATCAAGTTAAGTATTTATACTAAGAATAGGCCGCCAAATATAAAAACAATTCACGATAGCAAATGACAAAACCCGTCAAAAAGGGGCCCTCCCTATATAAGAAAATATTGGAAAATTTAAATCCAAACAAATTAGTTCCACATGCTAAAGAACAAAAATCTCATGTTAATTTTTTTAAAACAAGGATTGTAAATTTATATAAATTTGAACTATAAAATGTAGGTTGTCGGAAACGATTTTATATATTTCATTTCAGTGCGCTAAAACAGCTTTTTAAAATTTAGGTACCACAGAAAACCGTCAACCACATAAACATTGACATTATTTACAGATCAGATTGAATTTGAAAGTCCTCAAACACTAAAAATAATTCATTTTCCATTACTACTATCCTTATCATAATAATTTCATAACAAAATGAAAAATAAAACGCCAAATTACAAATTTTTTATTGATTTTTCATATAATAGATGTACGAAGGAGCGTGGGTTCCTGTGTGTGAAACAAAGGCTAGACTTCATAGGTTGCTTTCAGGCGGATGCTGTGCAGAATCTCGTTAAGCTCCTGAAAAGATAAAATAATGTTTACAACTTTGAACTAAACAGACAGGCTCTCTACATTCTAATATTGGATGTAATATCACAGGACAGAGGGCACGTATAAATGGAATGGCGTGCACGTTTATTAACTAGTCAAAGCGCAAAACCAAAATTATGACCTGGAATTAGTAAATGATATAACTAATTGAGGCCTCTAGTTAAAAAAGTAACATTGATAGCACAACCCGTTTCATTTGCAGGGTGGGTGAGGTTATTGATGCGACCGTAAATATATTCCTTTTGATATTAAAAGTTATAACACGTGCTGTAGTACAGGTTGACGCATTTCAGAGAAAGAGATCATTTACAAATTCTCTTCGAAAATTATAACAAATATATTGCACATATATGACAAATTTTCATACAGTGAACCGTGTAATGGGTGGACAACACACGGGACAATGGGGACGACAGGCAGTGTAAAATATGTATCTGTCAATCATTGTGCAATGAGCACTCGAAATTCTTGGATGAGAAGCTCAGAACGGTGACAAGCATCATCCAATTAATGAATTTGGGTGGTAATACTTACGTTTAAAAACACACGACATTTTAAATTAGGTCAAAATATTCAAAATTAATTGTCAAGGCCGAGGCACCCAAAATGTTCAAACAGAGGGTTAAAAAGTGCAGAGGATTTTAAGCAAATTAAAGTTATCATCAAAAGTCAGATGAATGCGCCGTTTATCTGAACATTTTTGGAATCCCAATGCACTGTAAGCAATAACTTCTACCATTCTGAGTGATATACAAGTAACAAAGGAAATATAGTAAAAGGATTCATGTCATAAATATTTGTCGTAAGTATTTTTTCCCATTCTTCTACGCCTTTAGTATTTAATGGCTGTGGTTGATGAAGAAATAGTGATACTCACAAACATACATTTGCTTCAACGCCTTATAAAAGCTCGACCTTCTGACTGCACCACACATACTGTTGCGTCTACACCCGACTCTGTCTAACTGCCAAGTGAGCATTCGGGAAGACAGCTTGTACTATGATGAACGACTGGTTGTTATGCAAATAACAACAGGTATAGTTCTAAGTGAGAAGTTGTTACTGAAGCTGTTCACGAATGTTCAATAAACCCGGTGGTGATACCTTCATATGCTCAAAGTCGTGCAAATATGCGATGTCACATATCACACTCTACAAGGCCAAAAGTGTCTAACTAGACCTACTACACATATAGCCCAGGTGTAACAGGAATGGGAGTCCGCTAGGAATCATAGTCCGCTTCCCATTACTTTGTACCGTTGACATTCGTCCATATACTAACCCCAATACTCCAATTAACCCTAACCTGCACTAATAATTGGGGGTCCGGACTTCCATTCCTAGGACTTCCATTCATGTTACACCCGTTTCCCCTATTTGAAAATTATTTTGAAAAATCAGCTTTACTTACACACACCCACACACACACACACACACACACACACAAAATAAATAAATAAATAAATAAATAAATAAATTAATTAATTAATTAAAAATCGATAAGGTCTACTGCCATGCTACGATACATTTTGCTCAGTTAGGGGAATTGGCCTGCTGACTAAAATTTTAACTTAAGTAAATAAATGTTTGAATGTATGAATCATATCATTTTGAAATTTTCATTGTGTTATATATATATATATATACTACTGACTACTGACTGAAAAACACACTTGGTCTCTTTATTTATTTTGTCGACTGACTTATTTACCAATCAAACTGTTAACACGGGCGGATCCATGATTATTTGAAGGGGGGTCCGGAATGACAGACCTCGGATGCGAAGCCGACCATCGCCCCCTTGGTGTGGGGTTTGGGGCCTGCTCAAGGGCCCCGAAAATTTTTTGGTTTTCTGGAGAGCAAACAGTGCCCTTTGGTACGGTTTAGAAGTATGATTTAGCTAGTCAAAATTCAAATTTCAAGAGGGGAATATTGGTGTGATATATTTTTCAGAAACCGAAAGGGGTCAGGACCCCCCTGACCCCCCCTCCTCTAAATCCGCCACTGTGATGACATATATTTAATAGGGGAAACGTCATCCGCAACCTAAAAGCCTTCCTACGGCGCTACTTGGCGTTTTTAAGGAACTAACGTAGCGATGTTTACATTAGAAAGAAAAAGAAACGTAACAAACATTCTATCAAAATTCGTTGTGACGGAGTATTTTGCCCCAATAATTCGTCTTTTTTGTCTTTCAAATTGTAGCTGGATGGATCGAGATGAAATCACAGTTTTAAGATCATGTATATTGCTATGGATATGAGAGCCCCAATGTTCAGCTGCTATTTGCGTATTTAACTAAATTTCTCTTTGTCGATCAACATTCCTTATGTCGACATTATAGGCCCACGGGCCGACATTATAGTCCCACGGGCAGGTTGCAGTTTTGTAAATTATCAATCATGTCATTAAATCCAGGTGCACCTACCCGCCGCACCTGAGTTGGTAAGTAAATAATTCAAAGGGACAGAACGAAATGGAAAGAAAGGACAAACCAAACGAAGTAAAACCACTTGAGTACGTGCAAATAAAACCCTGGGCAGATTAAGCCAAGCAACCGACACTCACACGTTTTCAAATAATAAAAATCAAAATATACTTAAAACAGGACAAGCGGTTTTCAAATCTTGACGTCAGAAAAGCAGAATAAATGCATAAATACGTGTGCGCACCACTTTTAACCTCAAGTGTTAATTCAAAATATTGTGAAACGCTTGAGATTTTCTTAATGATTACATAAAACAGCGCGGGAGGCCTTCAGATGACTTTGCGAGAGATCATCTATAAACCCGATATTGTTTGCGCCGTGCGCCGTATGTGTGACTGTAGAGTAAAAGCTACACATGTAGCGTCTTCTGTACTCTGCTGAATTTGACCACTGACCATGATCAGTCTAAATGTTTACAGTACGTAACTTGTGCATTTTGAACCCCGTAGTTCTGCGAGACGAAGCAGATAAATTGTCGATAAGGGCAAAAAGTATTTAATTCTTATTGATGGTATATATATATAGGGTTTCTTATTTTGAAATAATAAGAAAGACAGCCATGAGCATTATCTCTTATGCTGCCTACCTGATAAATCTGATCGTCAATTTATCCGTCGTTTTATTTCAATATTATCAAGTCTATAGATCTTTATATTTATAGATCAGATTTCAGGTAAACCATCATCAGCTGGTATCAGATGCCTTTCTTGTAATCATATACTAATTTTCAATTATGGGTCGGCATTCCTTTGGCCTAGAGCTGTATATGAATTTATTATTCGCAATATTTATGAACAAACAACAAAGCAAAGTGGGCGATGCCGCTCTTTTTGTTGGGAGTTTGAAAATAATACAGACAGAATCGAATAATGCATGTTTGTATACAAAGGCATTTAGGTAGATCGAGTTACATACTTGTAACAATAACGTATTGGGTCAATAGATTACGATCTTTAAGCGAGTACTGTAAACTCAAAGAAAAGGTAAGCTAAACTACTGGGTATGAAAACAGCATAAAGCCAGCGATTTTGTCCATAGATGGAAAGTGCTACATTTGTGCTTGAGAACAGTCCAACATGGAGAAATGTGTATTGGAGATAACGTGCTCCGAAAAAGCGCGACAAAAACTGGAATCCTTAGTCATGCTTATGGATCCAAGTTTTGAACATATTCATTTGAAAGACTCGCATTCAGTAATGGACGTAGAGGGATCTTTGCGACCACATCGTCAATGCACCACACCGGGTATCATTGACACGCCAGCATTGAGTGTGGTCTTAATGTTGCACGAAAACAACCCAGATTTGGATTCTGCAAAAGATCAGTTGAAGTCTTGGAAATTTCATCACAAAATCGAGCTTTCTAATGTTAGAACTGGGAAGCCTCGAGTGGTGGCGAGACAAGATTTCTACGAAGAATCGCCGGGAGCAGAAGGGCCATTGTGGTCTTTTGGGTCAGTTCATCTTGGCAACGAGCTGCTCCGCTTCAATATGTTTGTCAAAGATTTCAAGGCGATGGTTCATTTCTACGGCCTTTTGACAGGGAAGACAGTTCAATACAGTAAACCCGGATTTTGCCTTTTCACACTATATAAGACCAAGGGGTTAGAGGTTCAATTAGCATTAAAATATTCTCAATATTTGAATCCTGTGCCTACCAACGGCGGGCGTCTGCGGTTCCAAGTGTCAGATATTGTAACATTAAAAAAGCAATTTCCAGGCAAACTGATACGTCTAAGTGAAGACGTTTTTGAGCTGGAAGACCCTGATGGCAACGGGATTTTTATAGTATCTGCAAAGAAAAATGGCCGAGGTTCGACTTTGAGACGACAAAAGCCATTATCGAAGCGAGGTAAATCAGACGACGCTCTTAGTCTTTCTGAAAGCCATGACAGTGGACGGTGGAGCTCAAGTAGTGAACCAGCATTGGACCCTATTTCTGATACATTATCCGATTTTTTCAATGACACTGATGTATTTGATGAACCGACAACTTATTTCCGATCACAATCACGGCATCAGTCTTTTGACAAAGGCGGAACTGATGAAAACTATTGCAATGTTTTCACTTATGAAGATAAGTTTCGTGACTATTGTAATACTAGGTATGGGGCTTCAGGTAGAAGTGTGAAAAGTAGGCGACCTCGAAAACTGTCTTTAGACCCACGCCCTGTATCATCACTGCACACAGATAATACAGAACATAGTACCAGTAGCGACGATAATTCTACATCTAGTAAAGGGCGACCACGGCACCATTCAGTGCCGACACCGACGCGCATCACAAAACCCGTTATTTACTTGTAAGGTAGCATCGGCCTAGTTTTTCGATCTGCCATAAGATGAGATATTTTTTAAAGTTGATATTTTTATTTATCAATTATTGATAATATTATCTCATCTATTGGACATTTCATATCAAGACTTTTTGCACAAATGATATCGATGATCACAAGTTTTCTATTACTCGTTTTACATACATAGGAATATTAGTGTATTTCATTGTTTCAATAGGAAAGCTTATTTAAAGATAATAAAACACCTTTGTTTGTTTAGCTGTACCTGCGTGACTTTGCTTTTTTTAACGCCGCTCCTTATGTTGCGGTAATAATGGGCGTAGAGATTTAAACTTAAAGGTGAAACCCGAACTTCAGGGTCTAAGAATGACTGCTCTCTCGCAACACGCACATTTCGGATATATTTTTGTTTGCAAAACTTGCCCATATGTTGCATTTAAGTAAACGGTCAATTAAAGTGGAGGGAGTAATCGTGGTTAAAAACCTATTTAATCAGAAAATATTCCATACAGTAAATAAAGTACCCCTAGACGTCTATCTGGGCACAAATAAACACATTTTAATTGTCGCCATCTTTAGGATTTATAAACGATCTAATTACATTCAAGCACATTGGGCAAATGCAATGTCGATAATGATTTTGATAAATATCATAATGTGTAATCGAAGATAAGATTGAAAATAAGCACCGGCTGATTGCACCTCATTGTATCATAAGCGTAGGTAACAGCTGTCAAATTGACAATCAATATTTTGAGCACTCCCGGTGTTTTGACAGGCAAAAATTTCCTGACATTAAACAAACTCGTTATTTTTTCGGTGCGGAATGTACATTCTTACTGGACATTTTCTAAACAATCAAAGTTAGAAATGTTTGCTCGACATACAATATCGGTGTTTTAATGAGACCAAAAATAATTTGGTGTTTCGATCTAAAGCACCGAGGTCGCAAGTATTGGCGCTGCGTTAACCCATCCAAGCAAAGTTAACTAAAATAGTTTTTGATAACTTTTCATGCAGTTTTGGCTTTTCCGTTTTGTCTTTCTTACATTTTTTCTTAGTTTTCTTACTTACATTTTTTAATAATAAGGGACTGCTGACTGTAAAAGCTGAAATTTCACACAGCTTATTCGAGTGGATTGCTATAAAGTGACTGGCATTAAAATGCATCCAATACCACCACCAAGAAAATCGGATAGCCTTGCGCTAGTGACAAACATATTTATTGGTGTACGGTCTAATATATTTTCTATAACTTTATAATAATACCAAAAAAAAACTGTATTGGTAAATTATAAAACTTTAACAAGTTATGGCATCAAATGACAAGGTGTAATCTCAGTAATAAAATGTGTAGTTGGGAAAGAATAAAGTGAACATTGTAACGCATGAATACAATAAATATAAGCTGGTGGATGTACAAAATCACAGTTGTGCTGAGCTATCTCATTAATGAGACTTGTTTTGAATATAACATGAAAGAAAACGCACAAGTTCACTTCATGTATCGCATATATTAAAAGTGTGTAAAAACAATTTTCAACATAACAATAATTTCTTATAAAATCTACACCCTGCGGAATATATTAAATGTACCTATTATTTAAAGCTACTACTATATACAGGGTATAGTTTGTGATAACACAGAAAATGATCCTAATTTTCTCAAGACGTTTTAAATATTCAAACACTTTTCATAAGCACCGTCATTTGTTTTTTGTTGATCCAAACTAGTGAAGCAAGTGAAAAAAGTGAAACTACTGAACTTATACTCGAATTGCCTTAGAGACAACACTGCTTTTTCTCTTTTTCCTCTGTGATGTATCTTCCAAACAACCATCTACACTTGCAAGTTCAAATTCTTCCTAAAAAATAATGAAAGTAAAGCAAATTAAATTCAAACTTAATGTTTCATTACAGGCAACCAGCTCTTGGTTTATTATTCCCTAACACCAATACCATAGATATAAAACAAATGTATATTTAACTTTATATAGCAAGTTGCATATATAAATGTCACAACATGGGTAAAAGGTTGCAAAAGAAAGTGCAGAATGAAACCTTCATTAGCCAGTCTTTACCTGATCTATAACTGATCTGGTTCTTTTTTGCCCTTTATTTTTGCTGTTATTGGTTAATTTCTCCTTTCCCTGTGGTGTTGGCTGTGCCTTAAAAAGATTTCAGAAACAACATAAAGGCAACTATACAGCCAAATCTTACTTGTAAATCAATTTCTATTGGTGCAAACGATGTCTCATTTCATCAATACTTAGCATATTCAATCCTTGCATGTCATACCTCTTTTCCTTTTGCAACAGGCTTTTTACGTTGACCAGTAAGGTTAATATTTTCTGCTCTGTCAGCTAGTTTGTCAATCTGCAAATTAAAAATTTGTATAATAACAAATAGAAAAATACATGAATATCAAATTAATTTTTTCGTAAAACACCAAATATCTTTTATTTAAAATTAATTTTTAACTTTAAGGGAGAAGGAGAAACGATACTGGAAATGGAATAACTGTTTGTAACAAGTAGTCCTTTTTACCTCTATAGTCGCTTGAATATTTTTCATCTTGAAATATTTTTTAAAGCCCTCATTTTTTATCTTCTCCTTTTCTACAATTTTTCCCAATCTGTAATAAAAACATTTCAAGACATGAAGAGATAATTTTTAACATTAATAATCTTGTCTTTTTCATCATGAAATGTTCACTAAAAGATAAAAATAATAATTATACTTCTTTTTTTGTTTAAAAGACATACAGATAATATTTATTTTAAGGACCTTGTCATCAAACTAAGGTTTTGCCAAGGACAAAATACAATTAAACTTGTTTAAAATCAAATAAGGACTGACAAATAGATGTGATATTACCTGTACAAGCAAATATTAATAAATTTACTACAAACCTTTTGCCTTTGCTTGGTGCTTTTAAGAACTTTTCTCTTTCCAGTCTATTGACTAGGCCTTGTGCCACAGTCATCTCTACACCCAAAGATCTGGCAAAGTTGGGAAGCACAATTCTAGACAACTCACTGCAGGTCAAAAGTGCTCTTCTCCATAAAGATGTTGCCTAGATCAGGAATGGAGAGAGTTAAATAATTGTTCTACAAAATCCACTTAGAGAAACAAATATGACATTTCAAGCTATTCAATGACTTAAATTAGGATACAAATTTAGTATCAGTATATACTTCAGGTTGACTTACCTTTACTAGTAGAGAAATGTTAATATTACACAAAAACTCCTCATAACATTATGTAAAATACATGTCAAATTGTTATCTAAACAATTATTCACAATAAGACCTATTTTACCTGGACAGCAATTTCATCAAGTCCAACAAGTCTTGGGTCAGTAGGTTGTCTTTCTGGATCTTCTTCCTAAATAAAACAAAACAAAACATTATTGCAATTCCTTATTCTGGATTTTTCATATTTTAAATCAAAACAAAAAGACAAACTGTAATATTTCTTCAAATTTGAAATAACTGTATATTTCTTTAAAAAAAAACAAAAAACAAACAAACAGAAGTAGCATGCAGTAATCTTGACTGAATGCATCATAATAATGTTAATGATATCTTTATATTAAAATTTCACACACACACACACACACACACACACACACACACACACACACACACACTAAAAAAACTTACGTTTGCACAAAAATTGCAAATATGATTTTGTGGAGCTTCATTCTCATCAATAATTCCAAAACATACTGCATGTTGCCAGTACCTGCAGGAGGCACATAAGATCATCAAGCCATCATCCTGAATTAAAAAAGAAAGTTATTAATGGTCTGTAATGACATAATACATATGCTTAGAAAGAAAATAAATAACATAATTTATTTATGTGAATGTTCTTTTGACCAATATCATCAAATGTTTACCTCGTTGCATCCACACGGACACCTCACTCCATTCTCTTCTTGAGCATCTATGTTACTTCTTGCTGAGCCAGTAGTACTGATTGCTCTATCTTCTGTGCCTGAAATGTATATATAGATTACCACACATCCCATGAAAATAAAATTCATCAGGAGCACTGAGAAATTTCAGAGGTCTAAAAAAATAACAACATTTGAACTTATGATAAAAAACTATACAAAACACAGAAAGAATCATCACTAGGCCAGTAAATACACCTGGACGAGCTGGAGTCTCTACAGGGACATCTTCACATTGCATGGGCTGTTTGATCAATTTACTTGAGGTATTCAATGTACTGGAACTGGCTTCTGTGTGGTTTTGGATTGTCTTTTGGTCAGCTTGGTACAGCTCTTTCTCCTTTTCAATTTAAAAAAAAGGTAACATCCCTATTGTGATATTTTTTATATATAATTAACCAAAAGACAAAAAATGACAAATTTCCAATTTTAATGACAACAACAACAACAACAACAATAATAATAATAATAATACAGAACAAAAAATGTGGTTTTATTGCAGTGTGTGTGTGTGTGTGTGTGTGTGTGTGAGAGAGAGAGAGAGAGAGAGAGAGAGAGAGAGAGATGCTATTTGTCCGTTTTATTGTATATGAACAAAATTAACAAATCAATACCTACATAGATGCTTTTTTCTGTCATCATTGCCTCATCTTCTATATTTTGACTGTCTGCTCCAACAGTTTCTTGTTCTTCAAACTGTTTTCCATCTGTCTTAATTCTGAGCTTCAATCTGTAAGATTTTGGCATCATTTTAAAGTGCTGCAGTGCATTTTGAAGACTGCATCGACTGATTACACTTCGAAGTATTACACTTTCACTATCATATTATCTTTAGTTTTTACACATCAAGTATGAATATACACAGTGTCCTTTTACACCAAGAAAAATTAAAATGGAGAAAGATGGAATACTTACGCATGAAATGGCTGATCATCCAAATCCAAGGATCAAAGAACAATTGAAAAGAAACATAAAGTATTTTATATTATGCGTTCAATACCCAACTATCATAAATAAATCTGTAGACAAAAAAATAATTAATATGAACTACAAACCAGACTATATCCACACTGATGACTCTAAGCATGATATAAGCAGTAAACTGAAAGAGCCTCTTAAAAAAAAAAAAAAAAAACTCACAGTATGAACATCTCCCACTTTAATATTTATTGGCTCTTCGTCAAACATAAAATAGTCAGTATCTACTGGCTGGAATCCTGGAGGCTCATAGTCAGCTGGTGTCACTAAATTGAGATTAGATGAGGAAAAATATTTCCAGAATAATGAAAGATTGCCCCCACAAAAAAAAAAAAAAAAAAAAAAAAAAAAAAAAAAGCATTTATCTAAATACAAAAATAAATAAGAAGATAAATATATTGGTCACTGACAACTTAAGTCACTAACTGGTTGTGTTAAGTGGTGACATCTGCTTTTAATTGCTCTTGCAAAGAAACATAATTCCAGTTGAAATTCATAAAATCCATATATTAAAAAAAAGGGTCTTACCATCATCATAATAGAGTAATTTCATAGTCATCATCACATCATCAGGCAGAGAGTTTAATGTCTGTGTGAGAATGACAATAGTTCTCAAAAGTTTGATGGTTGCTTTCTTAGTTTCTGATGGACTATAAGCACTTGCTAGCTTATCACCATTTCTACAAGGAAATAAATGTCATTTTTTTCAATGTAGGTTAAATAGGACAAATTACAATTTCATTGATACATATAAACTGTTTTTTTAGTGTTTTAGTGTTTAGTGACAAGCAGAAGCAAATAGCAAGGACAAAGATACTGAGTAATGGTATGATATAAAAATGTGTTAATATAAAAATTAATAAAATGAAAAAATAGTACCAACAAAAAATAATAATGATTAAAAAATAAAATGATGGAAAAAAATAGTATCAACAACTATTCTATGGTACATTGTAGTATGACCAGTTAGTTAGCCAGTCAATAAGGCCTAACGTGGTCTCATGAGCTAACAAGGCTGTAATATGAAAATCACACCTCTTTGTTACCAACAGATCATTATTTTTAAAATAAATTTTATTTTAGGCAGGCCATCTGTTCAAATCATGGGATGCGTGATGTGGTTCACATTTCACAGGAACAGTTTATCAGTAATATGCTCTCACTTTTTAAAATCATTTCAAGGAGAGAAGTAAGAAGTTAGCAAGGAAAAAAATCAAACTTGTACCTGTATATGTCCATTCCACCATTGTTTGTATAATCAAATTTAAAAGTGTATGATTCTATAATGGTCTGCAATGAAAACAACAAAATGATAAATATATAAGCATACTGATGGTAAGTTGCATGATGATATCATGCAACTTTTTTGCAATCATATCCCGATGATTTCTGATAAAGAAATAATATTGGCAAGATAATTTAAAATTAGCTCCTCTACTGATCCTGTAGTGGCTTATCTGCTTTTCAAAAATGGATGATCAAAACCTAATAATTTGAAACTATACTTACATCTGGGTTTTCAGGATCCACATAAATCTTGAAATAAAAATTGAAGTGGAAATGAGTAAGCAAAACTGAATCTGCCAAACGTCATTTCAATACCATCTGGTAAATTGTTTCAAAAAGAAAGGAAGATTCCATAAAATGTTACATTTAAATCCTTTATTCCATTAATTACAATGTATATGGCTAGAAAAAATGTAAAATGCCAACCATATCTGTCATCCCAACTTACCCCAATTATCAATGTTTTCAGCTGGAATTGAAAGAAACCAAGTAACTTCAATATTTCATGTAACTGAGTGCAAAACATGCTGGTTTTTATTAATTTTTAATTCATCAACTTTACTCCTTAAATTATCAAAGTAATATAATGGTTTGAATGAAGAAGAGCACAAAGCATTTCTATCATGTACATCTCAATAATTGTAAAACATATGTACTCACATATTTCTTGTCAAAAGCATCAAAACAACCTCGCATCCACTTGATAACCTGACTTGCTCCTGGACAGGCAGTATCCTCCCTCAGTATTTTTAGATTCAAATCTTAAATAAAAAATATTATTTTACCTGATATGTGTTGATATCAACAACCATCTTTTTAAAATATATGTTGTCATTTAACTTTCTTATCATACAAAGTTCAATATACACAGTTTTGTAGTTGTCTTAAGTGATGAACCTACCTTCCAGACATTTATCTCCAAAAGCATGCTCGGGAAAAATAGCTCTTAAAGTATGCTACATTTGAGATGGCTACTGCCAAAAGTTTTTTCACAAATGTTGCCGATTGGGTCTCAGTCGCTTGTTCTGTAGGAAATGCAAGCCACTGGAAAAACAAACTAAAATGGTCAGTCTTATAAATACAAAATAAAACATTTATGTCTCCTCACTCACACACAAAATCAACAATAAAGGATAAACACAAGTATGATGTTCGAAACTTGATTGGTGATGGCCCCTTTTATTTAAAAATCCATCTAATAGAATGAATAACATAATTTAGTACCTAACATTGGCTAGACTTGAGTTACAGCAATTACGCATCCCACCAACAGATACTTTTTTTTCATTCTTTAACTGTACTGGACATGATATTTAGTGAAGTTAGGATGTTTTTAATTATTATTTTATGTTACAGTCTGTTTTGGACAAAAAATAACTTTTTTTCTAGTCTTCCTCAACAATGCATAACTGTTTAAATGTGAATTTTTGCATACATCATTGATCAAGAATGTTACATTTCCATTACTGAAAATAGATGTCACTTTAATTTTCAACTGTATCTGCCAATGGAACAGACAAAAGCCCTATAATTTACACATAACAAAAGACATCATTATTGTTACCCTCTACCAGGGCAGCAGATATTACAGGCACATTTCCCACCAGCCAGTTAGATGATCGACCATAGCCAGATTAGCCAGAGACATTATCTGTGAATATCTAGCTAAAAATCAATCAGTGGAACTGGTAAGAGGGTACATTTATGTTATGAATATGTTCAATTTTAAAAATTGATAAAAATCAGGGGTTTGATTTCACAAAATAAAAAAATATATATATACAATGGGAACAGTGCATAAGAAATTTTGTGAAGTATCTAAAAGTAATGATTATGATAAACACTGTGATATCTTCATAACTGCAAGTACACACATGCATTAATTAACCAAAATATCAACTCTTCATAACAACTCTTACAAAAGTTATGATGGGGGAGAATGACCCTCAACCATCCACTCACAACCCGCGCAATGGCAAGTGAGTTAATTTTGCGTTTACATTTAGATGCATACCCAGAGCAAAAAGTTTCTCTCTCTCTCACACACACAAACACACAGCATTCAAAAGGCATTGAGTCACACCAAACACACTATGGATGTCCCTTGTATGTGGGCTTCATAAAAAAAATCATTCTTAATGCTTCAGCTCCTGCTGAGTTACTAGTATGTACAATTACTTACGGATGTTGTCTTTTGTACAGATCTGTTGAGAGTTGCAGTGCAAGCCATGGTATAAAGGAATCTAAAAAAGACTTTAAGTAAATTAAATGTGATCTTTAAAAAATTGAAACAGGATCAAATTTCAAAAGATAAAATTATAAAGGCAGGGTAATGCATTATATGCAACTGTATAGTGTGTGAATGATATAATGGTAAATTAAACATCACTGCACTGTCCCTAAGTTTCAAATTTATTTTTCATAATTTTTTTATTTGTAGATCTAAGTCAAAAAACAAAATCAGTTAATTTAATATAATTAAATTAATTGATTTTGTTTCTTGACTTAGATCTAGAAATTTATAAAGAGAAATCTCTTCAAGATGATCTCTACTCAACTGCATGTCCAGTTCTTTTTATAAACTTAAAACTTAAATTATAAATGACTCATTAAAAAACAGGTACCTTCAGACTTACAGGCACAAATATTTTATTTTCAGTGTTTTTCTCAATTAAGGTGGTTATTTTGATCAATGACTCTGCTATTCAAATAAATTTGTAAACCAATTTACCTAATAGCTTTTTAAAAAATATTTTTACAAGGAACTCATTCAAGTGAGAGTTGAGGTCATGCCAGGGATGTAGATAAAAAAATCAGGTCTTAGCTTCACAGCACCGTAAGTGCTACTGAAACTACCATAATTTTAAATTAGAAATATGATTGACAAGTTACTGCTAATAAAGTTGCTTTATCATTTAAATCACTCCATACATCAAAATCGTAAAATTATAAACATTTAAAATACAGCACTTACTTACTCTGATATCAGGAGACTCTACTTCCAGTATAATTTTCGCTCACCTCACCCACAGTCCAATGTTCTAAAACGGTGACAGAGCATTGCAAAATCTAGCAGACGATTTCTGTCTTGCTCCTAGCTCACCCTGGCGGGAAAATTTACAATCTGGTAAATAACATTTGCACAAATTCAGGGCGAATGTATCGGTAAATTGATTCTAATTGTACAACGTGGTATAATGAAACGGTTTTTCACGTCTAGAAATGTATGAAGGCGACTAATGTCATGATGCGAGCAATTAAATAAAGTTTTACCTTTGGCAGTATACCTACCGGAAGTTTACTATGTAGCGGAAGTTTCATTCCCAGAATGCAGCTTGCGTGCGCAAACTGTGGTGCGCATAGCTAAGTTGCCATCAACAACCAAGTTGACAACACTTTTACAGGGCATGTGACTGTCATTTGGGGATTGTAAAATTAAGAAATAGATAAGGTATGTTAAAATTAAAATAATATGACATTAAACGAAGTCTGTTACTTCATAATGAAGAGTTGTATTGGTAATGCAGAGGTAAAATGTGAATAATTTTAGAGAACTTGACATTGCCAAGATAAAACGTGATGGATGACACGCATCTTTGTCATATTTTGGAATCATTGACTTGTATCATGTCTAAGAACATCTCTAATTTTCAGTTTCCTTGATGGTGGGCTATCTGCAGCTTTTTAAATCCCACTAATACTCTATATTAGTCAAGGCATTATTCTGACAAATCTTTACTTTAAAAGTCACTTTTGCATGTACATGTAGTCACTTGGGCACGTACACATGTACGTACATGTCAGATGTACAAGTATTTACTAGTCAAAGATACATTTCATGTTTTTTCATATATTCATATGTACAGCTACAATTTTAATATGAAAGAATGCCTAAAACAAGTCTTAAATCTCTTTCTCCTCTATTCTAATTTTGCATTTTACATACTGCATTGTCCTTGAGAATTAATGAAAGTGTGAAACATGTTGCAATTTATTTTTAATTTAACTGTCATCTTCAAATGCATAGGCAAACTTATTGAAACCAAAATGTAAGATTTTAAGATCTGTTGATATGCTACCCTTCTTTAAAATCAGTGTTTATTGAACATCTTTTCACTTGATACCCATGTGAAAACTACAGATACCATTGAGCTCTGATTTGGTTTGAATCATTTTAAGTGTATTATATACTGTACAGTGTGTGTGTGTGTGTGTATGTGTGTTTGTGTGTGTGTGTGTGTGTGTGTGTGTGTGTGAAATCACGTGATGGCCTTAAATCTTTGCCAGTCATCTAATATAACAATGAAAGATATATAGGAGTGCTACACAAAACTCAGACATTTTTATGTACAATGAATATATTGAGCTCTTTAATATTTGGCAGAATTTTACAAGTCACTTAGGGAAAATTTTAGAAGAGAAAAATAAATATGTAATTTATGTAATGTGTTCTTTCTGTTGCACAGGTACTGTAGATATACAAACATTTAAACCAATAATTTTTTATTTAAAAGTTTATAAGGGAGTTTATAAAATAATGAAATATTTAGTTTTTTTATGATTGAAATGCTGCTACAATGTACAATGTAAGTACTACATGTACTGTAGTACTGCTTTAAAGGCGACACCTACAGTATTCACATAAATAAACAAAAAATATCACACTCAACCATTTGACTGCAACAATAACTTTTATAAGCCCCAAATTTAAATATAAAACCAATCTCAAGGATCAAGTCAGTCTAATACTGTATGAAACTGTTCAATTTAATATGTCTTGAAAAAGAATGTCATTCATATATTTACCATTGACAAAAGGTAATGCAACTCTTGAGTATTTTCTGTGGAACACAGTTTAAGTCAGTTGATAATTACATTGTTTTTTATTATATTACTTTTTATTTACCTAACAAATCATAGTTTTCCAGAATTTTTGTTATGTTTTTAGTGAATCAACTTTCACAACTTATGTTATGATGCTTTAAAATACTTTGAACACTGTGTTTTACTTTTTAGACATGCCAGCTCCTGATGAACCATACTACTGCTCGCAGCAGATAAATATCCCTCCTGAATTGCCAGATATCCTGAAGCAGTTCACCAAAGCTGCAATAAGAACACAGCCTAAGGATGTCCTGGCTTGGGCAGCTGCGTAAGTACAGAAGATGACCAAGCATGGAGTTGCTAATTAGATTTATGATGAACTGGTCAATAGTAATAAGAATTGATGAGTAGTTGCCCTTGTGGTTGTGTTTGGGATGGGTGTTGTTGTTGGTTAGGTTGATCTAACACAATGGACTCTTCTACTTTTTTATTTATTATTTTTTTATTCATAAGTATTAAGTTTCAATTTTGACTGTTAAAATTGATGGCCTAAATGGACATTTGAGTAATTGTTTAACATATGTACCATCAAAAATATGATATATTCAGGATATGACACATATTTTCTTGATGAGCAAAATTTTTGGACTTGTGTTTAAAACAGTTTGGTCATTTTCTTTATACTGATATTCATTTTAAGGCATTTTGAGTTGTATAAGTAAGATGGAAAGAAGGAAGAATGTTGCAACTTGGTGATGTATTGGATTAAGTGCCAAAGGTTGTTTGGTTGGATGATATGAAAACTATCCTCAGAGGCTTTGATGGATTTCTTGATGAAGTATTTTCCTTGTGGGCATATGTTGACCACTGAATTGATTTTTTTTTCAGTAATGCAGGAGGAATAAGGCAGACATTGGAATAGCTAATAGATCTTTTGGCATTATCACACTATTGCAGCTGCTGCCTATAATATTGGGTCTACTTGAATACTGAAGTTATTTGGGGAGAAATACATATTTAATAGTTTTAATCAGCATGCCAGTACTTGCATTCTCTTTGTTCAATTTAGTATGCTGTCAATATGTTTTGTCTTAATCAAGAGAGATTGTATGTTTACTGAGTCTGATACAAAATGATTTTTGCTGTTGAATGTGTTAAATATGTTGTACAGTATGTAAAAAACTTTATACTTTGTCAAGTACACTTAGGATTCTGACTATTACATTTTCAGGGCTTGCACTAATAGGAAATTTACTACAGTAGAATGGGGTATTTTTTCCCCGGCAGACCGATTGATTCAAGCTTATTCAGATCATAAATAAGCTTGAATCAATGGAATTATCATTTATATCAGATTTATAATGATGTTTTGAAAATAAATTCAAGTGCCATTCGAAATTGACTTTCACTTAAAATCTTCTCCCCTTGATAAATTTCATTTTGCCACTTTTATCCCTGAAGGAAATGATAAGTGCTTATTTTCTTTCTCAATCTAAATCGACATAAAATATATAAAAAAGCTCTGTAAGAAGGTTCTTGAACATTTTTAGTTGACATTGATGAACCATCAGTTACATATACAGATTCAACTTTTTATTATTGTCTGTTCCAGTTACTTCAGGGCTATGTCCAAGGGGGAGACACCCCCAGTGAAGGAGAGACTAGAAATGCCAGTGGCCACCCAGAAGACCGATACAGGGCTTACCCCAGGGTTGCTTAGAATTCTCAACAAACAGGTATGATAAAATGTTCATGTTCATCAATAAACTGGCTTTGCAAGGTAAAGAAAATCTAAGTGGAATGTTCATATCTAGTGAACAACGATACTGCATGGGAACAATCTGTTTCTGGACTTCCCGGTAGCATATCTTTCAATAGATGATTACTTTGACTATGATGATGATGGTACTTCCAAATGAGGACTTCTGCTATTCACTATGAGTTCACCTGATGGTGCACCCAAATGATCAACTAACTGGTGATGGGACTTTGACAAAGCTTAGTCTTTTTACTTTAAACCAGAGCCCTCCTTGTTTGTTGAAACTAGGGTGTTCCTCCTGTTCATGTACTGTGTATGACTCCCTTGACACCTTGACTAAACCCATGACCTCATTTTCAATGGGACTGTCCAGCTACATTGGTATGGGTATACATCATCACAGTAGCCATCTTTTGACAGCTTGTAAGCCCAGAAATAGATTTGAATAAGGCCTATATATCATCTCAACTAGAATATTGTATTGATTGACCAATAGCACTTTTAAAGAATGCAAATGTTGTCCATTTCATCTGAAAACATTTGTCACATAAACTGCCACTTAACAAAGGCAATATGGATAGTAAGTAAACACTAAAGTTTAGAAAGAATACCTCAGTATGGCTTTATTGTTAACTTCTGTCTTTTTAGCTTGGACCTAGGAAGACTGTGCCTTTGTCACAGATTGAAGAAAAGTGGAAGGATCTCTCTTTACCCAAAGAACAGTTTGATGAATTGGTCAGGATAGGCAGTTTTGGAGGGGACACTGAATGGTTGAAATTCTTCTCCCTGGCAGCATCCACCCTTGGGGAGGTATGTGATTGAGAATAGCAGCAAAATGGGGTATTGGTTAAGAAAACATTGTTTATATTGCAACATGGGGCACATTGGGGCCTATTTATGCCTCAGTAGAGAATAAGATTGATATAATTTTTGCATTTGTGAGTGCATCCAAATGGAATTTTGATTGGGGTGAGGGCATGTTTCTTACTTATTTCATGATTGTAAATGCTTCTCTTTTACAGAATATTACTAATGCAATGAAAACTATCTGTGAGATTTTGACGGCTGATCCTGAGGGAGGACCTTGTAGAATACCCTTTCAACTTTTCAAAGACCTATACAAATATCTGGCCCAAATTGACGGTGAAATCTCAAAGGAGCACATTGATGAAGTGATATCTCATTTACAGTATGATGTGTGAGTACATTCTGCCTATGTCTTTTCTAAATGATTTTTTAGTTTTGCTTAGTACTTAAATTTGAAAAAAATTGCAAACTCACTGATGCCTCTGCAATTACATGTACTTTTTTTGATGAAAAATTTTGATTATTTAAAAGCAATTATAATTAAAATCATTTACGTTCATTGATTTTTTGCCAATTTAATTAATTCTTAAGAATATATCTAAAAGTAAATTCCACTATCAGATTACGTAAAGGTGTGACAGCAAATATTTCAATAGTATTAGTGTACACTATCAGTTGAATGTTTACTACCTGTTGTCATTTCAGAGACAAACAAGATGGATTTGTGCAGCCAAGGAACTTTTTGAGCCCAGATTGTCCCAAGCTGTCGTAACTTAATCTACCCAAAGACTGAAGTCTCTCATCTGAACATTTATATGCAACTTGCTATGGTTTCTTCAAGCCATTTACTATAGGCATGGCAACAATGGGGAAAAAACAGTACCATCTTGCACACACCTGTAAATATTTTGTATAAATGAAAAAGTGATTTAGTTTTCATCAACTTGTTCAAAAGAACGAGCACTACTAAAATTTATTGTTGAGATCTGCAAATTGATAGCATTTATTTAAAAAGTTTAAGATATGAAAATTTCTGTGATTACAAACTGAAGATCAAGAACTATATTGGTAAATTGCACCATGCCTAATGGCATCCATTGAAACCATACTGAGGAGACAGTGCGCCATTGTTTAACTCCGTCCTGCTAATCCCAGGTGTTTATTTTTGCTACCAAACATTTTTCTGATCATTTTTAGGTTTGCGTTAAAATAGTCAGTCCCATCCCTGAAAATGTACAGCTTTTTTTGTAAATAAAACGTTATCAAACTCCTGACAGGTGATTTTCTTTTGATTAAAGAACAATCCAATTTAAGCATGTTTATTTATTCAGAAAATCAAGTGGACAACCCAGTTTTTTTTTTTTAAATCTGCATTTTTATTTAAATCATAGTATTTCAGTTCTGAGTATGGTGATGTTGTGTGCTGGCACCAGCTGTCATAACAATTGCTGGTTTAAATGCCATTATCCTGGGGACAGATCAGGTGTTTGAGGGATAAAATTATCCTGCTGAGTATCATATTTGTGTACCTCTCCTATGTTTTAAGGGAGACACTGCCTGCCATATATTGGCATTGCCAAACCATCAAACACTTTCCAATTAATAAGATGAGCTAAGAAGTACAGGTTGGTTTATAGTAACAGATGTGTTTGTAGATTTATTTGAAACAGGAGGCTTTAAATTACGTATTACATAAGTTAATGAATGTTGAAGATCTGGGAGTGGGAGATGCAACTAATGTCTTGCCTAATAGAAGCATAATTTTGCATTGATAAGTAAAATCAATCACGAAAATAAGGAGTTTTTTTACATGAGGCTTATCTGTTACTGGAAGTTTTTTTTTTTTTTTTTTTNTTTTTTGGCACGAGCACCTCCCAGGCATGCACAATTGTCTGACACAGATAAAAAAGAGAATTCACAAGTCAAATTGTATCTGCTTGCAATGACATCTAACTCCTGTATTGATTTTGCATAGTTCAAGCCAAAAGCATCTGGACAGAAGAAGTAGAGTTTGTGCAAATTTACTTGTCATATAGGGATGCTTCAGGTTCTGCAGTGTATGTTGCACACACATATCTATATTGATTTTCATTATGATTACAGAATCCAACACATTGGATTATACAGAACATCTCAGTCTGTGGCATTGCGCGCCTATTTAACAATCTGGAGGAATAAAACTTTTGATACTTGCAGTGAGACAAACCAGAAAGTGATATCTGATGGTCTGCATCTTCTTTCCAATTATCATCACCATTTTTCATTTTATTTGAACATAATCATCACGGTAAAATGTCCTGTAATTGTGTTACTGTCGAAAAGATCCGATCTTCTTCAAATGACATGGTTTTCTATTCAATGAATAAGTTTCCAGTGAACTCCTTGAATGGGGGGAGCATCTCTGATGTATACTATTTTTGAAATTTTGGGAACATTTCTCAAGTTCTATTTTGTAAATCTACTTAGGATTTCTTCCTATTTTAGTTGAGATTAGGTTACGTCAAACTTCTTTTTGTATCAAAAATATTCAATGTGTTATATTCATGGCACTGATGCATTTTAGTAGGAAAAAGTGTGTCATAAAACTGCTAATGGGTCAATTCTTAAGCTGGTCAACTCACCAGTCAGATTATAATGTAACAGACAGAGCTGGCTGGTTGGTATACAGAGGGCCAAAATAATCCATTTTGTCAATCTTATTTAGGTTATAATCTTAACAAATGATAAAGGCTAAGGTTATTCAAATGGTGATAAGAGGAGATTGGATGACATTCTCCTGTCAACAAATGATTGAATAATAGTAGGAATACCACTTTCAAATGCCATTTCGACTGCAATCAATAACAATAACATTAAAGTAAAGCCTAGATTTTTTGATACAATTTTCCTTGCAACTCCCAATTTCTATAAAATGGCAACTGAAAAACATACATAACCAAGTGAACATTTGCTTATAGCAATGTATTTGACAAGTCTTTTCAGTCTTTATCCAGTACCAGGATTAAAACCTTTCAATGCACATGAGATAAAAAGAAAAACAAACCATGCATCTATTGTGTCTCAAAAAATATAAAATGGTTTATTGAGGAACTGCCAACTTGAAATACACAGCATATCATCTTAACCTAGGCAAGACTAATACAGCAAGCAGGGCAGGTCTGCAAGGATTAAGAACAATTACTTTTCTAAAACCAAAACTTTGAGACCTAAAGCCTATTGCTATTTCTGACAGACATATTGTTCTTCATGAAAATAATTCATCTTCATTGATTTATACATCGGTGTTCTTTTTTGAAGGGGAGGGGGGGGGGGCAGAGGTGGTGGAATGTTTTAAGGTTTCCTCTACTAAGGTTGGAAGGTCATTTTTAAATATCTACATCAGCACCCAGATTTCCATACCTGTAGAGGGGTCGGGGTTACATTGATTAAAAATAGAACTGGAAGGGGGGAGGCTAGATCTAAAATGAGATTACAGTAACCCATACCTGTTGTGCCACTTATATAATAAATTTGGCACGTGTTACAAGAATCTCTTTCATGATTTTGTCTCAGATAATGAAAGATGTTAGTATTTATCTGAAAGTAATAAATGTCATGTTTATATCTGCAGTCAGAGATTGCAATATCCCAGATGTGAAAGTTTTGGTTCTAGATATTATGAACACATCAGACATTACTATCTGTGAAAAAACACAGCTACCTGGTTGGAGTATACTTAGCAAAGAATATTACATATTTTAAAAACCCAGGACCATGAAGATAGTAAGTTAAGTGTAGAACTGTAGTATATTTTTCAGCTCTAGCTAAAAAATGTTACCCATTTAACTATATGACAAACTGATTAGAATAAAACAACCTTGTCACTGTTAACATCTACCAAGTGTAATAACACACAACCTCTAGGTTGTTTAACTTCTCTTATAAATAATGTTTCACTTTTTCATAGTTTCCTTGTTCAGATCTCACTTGGTAAGAAGACAGACTCTGAATCATTAGTGTGAATAGTAACTCATTTCAGCACGCTTGTCCAATTGGGATACTAGCTGCACTAAGTAAAAATAGAAAGCTAATGCAATTTGAGGCGATTACTTGCCTTGGAAGTTAACAGTCTTCCAGTGGTGGTAGCCCCCTCAGAGGAACACTGAACGATTTCCATTATCTCAGTTACAGAAGGCGAGTTTTGATGAAATGGCTGAATGCATTCCATGCATGCAATACATGTAACAGGAGCATACATTGTAATCAAATTGGGAATACTACTGTTCCTACACAAACTACATTCTGATGGACTATTTTGTTGAAAAATGAACAACTGTGTACAGAAATGGGTTGCAGCTAGAGGGGAAAATAATTTCTATATGATCAATAAACAAATAAGTCTCTCATATATAACAAGCAGCTGGGAAAATGAGAAGGAAAAAAAAAACAAGTTTGTTGCAAGCTTCTTTCTGTGAAATTTTGAGTATCTATGCTTCAGCCCAAAAATCATAAGCTGATCACTGGTTTAGCATCACTTTTGCTTGTTAATTAAGAAAATACTGATATTAGGTGAGCTGATAATAGCTATATAAAAGTTCTAACTAATAAACCTACATGTTGTTAAAATGAAATATAACCCACACAAAAAAGCCAAATAGCTTTTATCAATATATTGAAAACAAGGTAAAAATATAAGCATACATGTGAGCAAACATAAGAGGGGGAAACCCATAAAAACCCATGTTATCATGAAATAATATCTGAGCCCAAACATCATGTCTAAAATATGTCTAAAATTTTCATTTGAAGCAATATCATAACCAACCATGAGATTCTGTTTATTTTTGTATGAGAAGCACCTGCCCAGAGCCCAAAAAGGTGCAACCGCAAGCATCCAGATCCATATACACACCATTCTCTATCGAAGCTGACCTTGAAATGGCTGATGATGAAGTAAATCTAGGAAATAATATTATACAACATCTAAGTGCATAGAAATGTAAAGGTTAATAGTATAACAGGACACTATAATTACACAAACATATGGTAAGTGCCCGAACCCTATCTAATCAAGATATATACTTATTATAGCCAGTATAGTCTTTTTATAACATACACTTGTACAGAAGATTACTCCACTTTTTAATATCTGACATGTACCTGAAGTCGTGTCTTCGCGTACTGTCTCTCTTCAGTAACTGCAGTTGTTCTATTAGCTACAAATGTTATCTCATACACTATAGAAAGGTCAATTCATTAACTGGCTCTTTTAGCATCAAACTTGATTTACACTGACACATACGAGCACAGGGCATCCAACACAGCCCTAGCTTATAAAGGAATAAGAATATACAACCTTTTAAAAAAGACAAAGCAATTCTACTACCACCTCACTACTATAACAGTGATAATGCAAGAAAACAGGTGCATTGTGTAATCATGTAACACACATCTATGTATTCAAGTTTACAGTTTGACTAGGTGACACAAGACATGGTGCAGCTCCACATATTGCATAAAGGTTGCTCTATATAGCAGTAAATACATGTTTAGCCAATTTCTGTAATAGTGTTATCATATTATTATTATCATCATGATCATCGTAAGCCCATTGCACAGTTAGTAATCGCCACCATTGTATGATGTGTTACACTTTTGTTAATAATATTAATAATAATAATAATCTCTGAGTATCATCCTCAGGGTGAATAATGTACGTTATGTGACCTTATATACAAATGTGGACTATATACATGCAGCCATAGAATTGGCAGATATCATGATAAATTACAAAACAAACCCAGAAAACAAAACAAAATTATTTTAAAATAACAATAATTGGCAATACCACCAATATTATAATATATGTGTGTACATACACACATATATATATACACACATGTATACAAAACATGTATTCTGGCACACACACGTGTATATATATATATATCTGCAAGTTGAGTATCAATAAATATTGGATGCTGATCTACAGTAAACCATCCATACTAAATTACTTTCATAGCCATTATAATCATTAAAATTGTTTCTAAACTAGCATTTTCTACACTACGCATATATACAAGGTTTTACATTGCAATTTACTACATGATTCTATGGTAGTGTCTATCGTCATTGTATAGTTGCACTTCAAGAAATAAATGTTAATAATAAGAAGAATAAAGCTGTTTATACCCTTTCACATTGTAGTACATACAGCAGCCCCCGCGGCACCAGGTCCAGGCACAGTGAGAGTTGCACAAGTTGAGGCAATTGATCTGCAAGGTGTCTAGTATGT